TGTCAGTCCACTGAAATAGTACCCAAAATTCTAACTCTGCAGCATAGCTCCATAAGTGACAGGGCCTGCACAGTAAGGACACTGTAAGCAGGTTGGAGAAAAAAGGCTGGCTCAGGCCATATGCATTTATGCCTAGGATTCAAGGAATTGGGCTCAATCTCAGAGCCATGATGCACAGGCACTTCTGCAATCTAAACACAAGATGTCATATGAGAGATTTCTGGTACAGCAAAAAGATTCCTGGAATACTGCTTCAATCCATAGGAAAGGGTAGTACTGGTACTAACTCCAACAGGAGTATGCAAGTAACTCAATAATCTTCAGTTAAGAAAAGAAATTGTGAAACAGTTAACAAACTTCTACTTCATGCAAACAAAAAGTAGTCTATTGCAAAAAAGGAAATTTCCAAAGACAAAAAACATGTGTGAAAATAGTCAAAGATCAAAAAACATTGAGAAGAGACACAGTGCTTTCTCTGTCCTGTGTACCTTTTTTTGTAGACTTATTTGTATCTTTTTCTCCACCACAGATATTCTATTATTCTGTTAATTCTTTTCCTCTCAAGAGGTTTGTCTGTTTATTATGATAGAAACATATCTCTCGGATATATTGATCTTTCTTTCTAGGATTACTTAACCCTGTATCTGTAGGATCAAATAGGTATTTAAGATAGGTTTCATGATCAGACTGACCAGACCGATTCATGAAATATATATTGTTTCACATCAAATGACTTATCAGGGACTTTAGAATTGGCTTTTTAGAAGGGTTTTATATTAAAAATCTCAGTATTGCAAAACTATTTCTAACTTTTAATTACCATTCCACTTATTTTAAATAATATTCAATACAAATCCTAGGCAGGCCTATAACTGCCTTTTAGAACTGGTTTGAGTGGGATTTGAACCACATATGCTCCATAAAGCAGGAAATGAACACTTAGCAATTATTAACGATTAAGAAAAGAGAAATAGAGAATTTTAGTTGTCCTTAAAATATCAGCACAACCAAACTTAGGTGCAAAATTCCTAACACAAATGATTGCATCTGGGCCAGGCCTGTAGTCCCCTTACCATAATCAATAACGATTTTCTAAACATCTCCATGGGCTGTAATTGTCTTGTTTCCTTGGTATCACCTCATCCCAGGACCTGAATTATTTTGCTCAGTTTAGATAGCTGTAGCAAGGCTGGTGTCGATTATCTTTTAAAATATAAGTGTTAATCAGACAGCATTCAAGATTGTCCCTACACAAATGTCACTCATTCACTCAACTTGGACCTGCCCTCCCCAGCAGGAGAGCAGGAGGTGGAAGGAGGTAGAGGCAGCCCCTTGGAACTTGCACAGAACCCTGAATGGCCCCGGGGGCGGGGGGCGGGGAAAAGGGAGGGGAGGAGAAATGCCGAGCCCCACTGTCAGGGAGTGATATTGGGCCACTGTCACAGGGGCTGTCTGAGCACTTGCAGCATGCAGGGGGAACCTGTAC